TGTAAATTTTTACATAAATACAAAGTGTGTATATATAATGTATACAAATACATATGGGTATCACATATGTGATATATATATACATATATATATACATATATATACACATATATATGATATATACATATACATCACATATGTATGTAAATTATATAATTTACATACATATGTGATATAAAGGTGCCTGTGTAATATATATATATATATTTCTTAAATCTGCACACCTAGAGGACAGAGAGCAAGCCCCTTACCCCCTGGAGCAATGAGCACAGCTAGTACCTGGATATTTATTTCTAATTACTGTTCTCTGCTAAACGGAACTGGAGGTCTCTGAAGAAATGTCTAGTTTCGGACCCCTTCCTTACACAAAAATTAACTCCAGATGGATTAAAGATTTAAACATAAGACCTCACACCATAAGAACCCTAGAGGAAAACCTAGGCAAAATCTTTCAGGACATAGGCACAGACTGGGACTTCATGACTAAAACACCAAGGGCAATGGCAACGAAAGCCAAAATAGACAAATGTGACCTAATTAAACTTAAAAGCTTCTGCACAGCAAAAGAAAGAATCATTAGAGTAAACCTGCAACCAACAGAATGGGAAAAAACGTTCGAAATCTACTCATCAGACAAAGGGCTGATATCCAGAATCTACAAAGAACTAAAGCAGATTTACAAGAAAAAAAACCCATTCAAAAGTAGGAAAAGGGTATGAACAGACACTTTTCAAAAGAAGAAAAATATGTGGCCAATAAACATGAAAAAATGCTCATCGTCATGGGTCATTAGAGAAATGCAAATCAAAACCACATTGAGATATCATCTCAAGTCATTAAATGAGAATGGCAATCATTAAAATATCTGGAGACAACAGATGCTGGAGAGGATGTAGGAAAAAAAGGAACACTTTTACACTGTTGGGAGTGGAAATTAGTTCAACCGTTGTGGAAGACAGTGTGGCGATTCCTTAAGGATCTAGAAATAGAAATTCCATTTGACCCATAAATCCCATTACTAGGTATGCACCCAAAGAAGGATTATAAATCGTCTGTCATAAAGGCACATGCACATGTATGTTCACTGCAGCACTGTTTACGATAGCAAAGACCTGGAACCAACCGAAATGCCCATTGATGATAGACTGGACAAAAACCGTCATTCTCAGCAAATTGACACAAGAACAGAAAACCAAACACTGCATGTTTTCACTCATAGTCGGGTGATGAACAATGAGAACACCTGGGCACAGGGAAGGGACCAACACTCACAGGGCTAGGTGGAGGGGAGGAGAGGGGCGAACAGCAGGGGTGGGGAGCGGGGAGGATGGGGAGGGTTAACACCTGGAGAAATACCTGACGTAGGCAGCGGCGGGGAGTGGGGGCGACAGAGAGGGATGGATGGAGACAGCAAACCACCCTGACATGTATGTACCTATGCAACAATACTGCAGGACGTGCACATGTACCCCAGAGCCCAAATACAATTAAAAAAAATAAGAAATGTCTAGTTTCAAGCCTAGAACATTTTTGTGTCCGAAAATAAAGTATTCAAAGAATAACAAGGACATGTCAAAGGACACAGCAGCTAGCTGAAAGCCTACACAGGACAAATCAGGTATAATTTGAACATCAAGACCAGGTGGCTTGATGGCTCATTCCTGTAATCCCAGCACTTTGAGAGGCCAAGGTGGGAGGATTGCTTGAGGCTAGGAGTTCAAGACCAGCCTGGGCAACATAGTAAGACCCTGTCTCTACAAAAAAAAAAAAATATAATAAGAAAAAGGAAAATGCATTAAAAGTCGTAACAGTAACTTAAGTACCCACTAGTCTACATTGTTATAAATAAAGAGGGGAAAGCGAAAACTCTTCTTTACAATAGAATGTCAACAAATAATGTAGATGGAATTTTAAAATTACCATTTGGCAACCATTATCGTAATGACTTGGGCAACAAATACCAGTGGATGCCGACACTAGTGAGGTAAAGTGGGATAGAGGAAGAGGATATTTTCATAGTCTCAAAGTATCTTCATGAAAAAAATTTGCTAATCATATAGAAAAATATAACTAGAGAAACATGGCAGACGCCATCTTAATCAAGTGATCAAGATCAAAGTTCCCAACACCAGCAAGGGAACAAATCAATATCATGTGCCACCTGACAGGATGCAGTGAGAACCCAGCATCACCTCTGTAATATTCCTGCCAAAAACACACAATCAAGGTCTAATCATGAGGCAATAAGTAAAACCAAACTGAATGACATTCTATAAAATACCCTCTATTACAAATTTTCAGTATATCAAGGAAAGATGTATGTTCCGGATTTAAGTAGACTAGATAGTCATGACAACTAGGTGCAACTCTTAATCTTGGATTGGACCCTTTTGCTATAAATGACATAAGTGGAGCAGTTAACAAAACTTGAGTGGTGATTTCTGACTTGATTGGGATTCTTTGTACTATTCTTCAAACTTTTACCTGGGTTTTGAATTATTTCAAAATAAAATTATAAAAATAAAATACTTCCAATCTTGTTGCATTACTTATACTTCGATGGCATTGTCGTCTACCTTTCATAGCAAAAGGACAACCACTTTATGGCTTAAAGAATGGTCTTGGCCGGGCGTGGTGGCTCACGCCTGTAATCCAGGCACTTTGGAGGCCAAGGCAGGCGGATCACCTGAGGTCGGGAGTTCAAGACCAGCCTGACCAACATGGTGAAACCCTGTCTTTTTAAAGAAAAAAAAAAGAAAAAAAGAATGGTCTTGTGAGCTGGTTTGGAAATCCAGCCATTATTTAAACATTTTTTAAAATGTGTTTTAATTGCACAAATGATATATAAATTCATAGTGTAATAGTCATAAAGTAAATTTAGACAACATTAAGTATTTCCCTTGTACCTCCCACTCATCTAAATTAACGAGTTATTAGTTTGTTGTGTTTCCTTCTAAATATTTTTTCTATGCTGCAATGTGCTTATTCATGTCTCCACTATGTTAGTACCTATAATTCATTCTTTTTCACTCACTTATATTGTTCCATGGTGTCAGCCATAACTTGTTACCACTCTTTTACTAGTATTTAGATATTTTCCAGTCTCTTGATTTTACAAACAAGACTGCAGTGAACATTTGCACACGTATTTTGCATATGTGCAAGTGTTTCTCTAGGTAAGATGTTAAGTGGAATGTCTGAATTAAAGGGCATGCTCGTTCAAACAATTTAAATAGATGTTGACTTTTATTCTACCAGTATATTAAAAAATAATTTAAAAACTATTCTTCTACCAGGTGAGTCTTAAGATATTATCTATCTAAAAAAATATAAAATCCTGATGAGACTTTGATGGAATTACAGTAAGTTCTAGATTAAAAAATAATGAAGTTTTTCGTTGGCATCACTTTCTCTGGGACATCTTTATTCTTTTGTCACAACCATTTTCCTCATTTGTGTTAACTGAGCCTTCACTGTTTCTCAGGTCACGTATCTACAGTATCTCAAACAGCAGCAGTGTCAGCATGCCCAGGCAGCTAGTTCTTCTGTAATTCCATTTATGTTCAATTTGATTTTCACTTCCAGTATTATCATTTTTATTCCTCTGGTACACTTTCATCTTTATTAGCTAATTTCCACTTTTGATTATCCATTTTTGTAGAATGCGGATTTACCATTGGGAGGCAAGCAATCAACACAACTACACTTTGCCATCTGTAAGTAAAGTGAATAACAGATGTGAAGTGACCAATCATAGACAGCCTTTGAAAGAAGTGATGTAACTGGTCCCATCAGGATGCATGTATGAATTTCCTATTACTGCGATAACCAATTCCACAAACTTACGAGCTCAAAACAATGCAAATTACTGTCATGCAGTTCTAAAGGACAGAAGTCCAAAATGGTCTTAACTGGGCTAGAGTCAAGGTGTTGGCAGGGATACTCCCTCCAGAAGGTACTAGGAGAGAATCCATTTCCTTACCTTTTCCAATTTTAGAGAGTTCCTGCATTCCTTGGCTCATGGCCCCTTCTTCCAACTTTAAAGCCAGCATTGTAGCATCTTCAAATAGTTCTCTGTTTTTGTCACATCTTCCCTGACTCGGACCATCTGCTTCCCTCTTATAAAGATCCTGGTGATTACAATGGAAGCATTCAGATAATCCAGGATAATCCACCACCTCAAGATCTCTAACTTAATCACATGAACAAGGTCCCTTTTGTCATGTAAGATAATAGTTCATAGGTTTTAGGAATTAAGATGTGAACTTTGGGGTGGGCGGTGTTATTCTGCCTAACACAATATGCATTTCTTATTTACGCAGTGGTTGTGATTTGAAGAACTATTCGTGAAGTTTGAATCTCATGCAATTACTTATAGTTAATATCTACCGGTAACTGAAATTTGAATTGTGTTGCTGGGGGGCTCGTGTTATTAAGTAAACCATAGTAACTGGGATTTGTGCATATCTGAATCATGCAATGTGGGGAGGGCCTTTTTCAGGTCCAGTTGACAGGTCAAACGGAATGAGAAATTCCATGTGACTACACATACTGGCCCACGGCTGCAGAAGTGACTTATATTTGCCCTCATGTTTGAAGAACACTCAGAGGTAAACAGATTGAGCTTTCTCTTGTGCCAGATCTTTCAAGCCTACCAGAATACTGACAGCACTTCAGCTTTTAAGAAACATTGTAGGTAAATATGGAAAAAACTCAAGAAAGAATGATATCTTCCCTCTTACTGCTGCCATCTCTGCCCTCCTCAATGCCCCAAAAAACTACGTCTAAGTCTCTTATGCATTAATACCCAACTACTGATAATGCACTACACTTTATAAAGCAAATATCTTTATTCTGATTAATAAACATGAAAGAGCTGTTCTGGTAACTAAGAATATAATCAGTGCTTCCTATGTACTCAGATGTTGCTGAACAGGCTATGGAGTGAGTAAATAAGGAACACGAGTTTCTGACACTTACCGTTTTTAACAAAACAACTGTTGATATAAAGTTTCTCATGAATTCATTTTATTTCAACAGCAAGAAGATCAGCTCCATACCTCTGATTGAGATTACAAAGTATAATCTTTTCAGCATGGGTTTTTCTCACCATGCCACAAATAGAAAGAGGCACTAAGGGACTGATAAGGGAGTATTTTCCATCTCTGGCAGTATTATATTTACCTGCAACAAAAACATCTGATCTTACAGAACAGGATACCTCTTGAAGAGGTTTAGTTTATTTTATGATATGTAAGTATTCCAAATACATTCATTGTATGAATTAGGGAAGGAAAAGCAATAAGAAACATTTCATGCATATTCATTCCTAGACTCCAGCCATACCAAGCCTTACCACTTTATAGAATTCATAATTTATTAGCCAATACTATTGTGAAATACTATTTCAATACTCTAAAAGTGATATTAGAGGGAAAAGAAGTCACACACAATGCCTGACACCACCAGGGTGAAACCAAATCTTTATCCACCTATGGCTCCTGTCAGGGTCAGCAGAGGCAGCAGTTTCATTTTCTTCATGGTTTACCCAGACATACGTGGAGCCAAAGTGCCAAGTGCATATTTCAAACATCTGTCCTGAATATGTTTAAAGCCACAGTAAATTACAAAAGGAAAATTCATAGATGCTCTTTGAAAGTGAGTGTAACTATTATACTTGGTATTTCACTTTCCCTATCCCCAAAAGTTTTTGATGCTACAAAGAACGGACCCTGATACATAGTTTGAAACTCTCACTATAAAATTACTAGGCTAAGTCTATGAAGACTTGAAAGTTCATTTTCCTGAGGTAGGTGAAAGGGTTATCTCTGTTCTTTCCAGGTGACTATATCTGCACAGGCTTCCCTGGGAGGACTTCATCAACAGCACAGTTACATATCAAAGTCCTTCAGCTCTCCCCAGCTGGCACCTATTTTCACTTTCACTTTCAATTTTACAGACAGTTTTACAGCTCTTTCCATTTCATTCTTGACAATCTGAGCTACCTAAAAAAAAAAAAAACAAAAAGGTTTTGGTTGCCTGGGTTCAGTAATAAATATGTGAGACCTTTCACTTCAAAAAAAAAAAAAAAAAAAAATATATGAGGTTAACAAACTCTCTGTCCAGTCAAAGAATGTATCCCAAGCCAACCACTGAGAACCTTATAAACCAGACTGGAGCTCTTTACCCAGTGGTGCTTAAAATGCTAGATCAGAAAATAAAAAAACCAGACATCTGAAACTCGTCTTCACTGATGAGCAGGAGTTTCTGACACTTTTTGCTAGAATGCTTGGAGCTTGGAAACCCTCAGGGAAAGACTGAAAATTTTTGTTCAATTTCTCTATGACAAAAACATCTCTGCATTGGCAATTTCTTAACTTATTAAGAATTAGTACAAAATGGAACACTCTTAACTCCTTTTCTACCCATAAGGACTCAATATTTATACAGCCATCCTGGGGCTAGGGTAGAGTTCCAAAATCCTCATGCATAGGGGAAAAAGCTGTCAGCCTGACAATACAGTGTCTTGACTTCCTATGGAATGGACACAAGCATTGCAAAAATACCTGAACAACATCTTCTTCTGCCACTTCATATAAGAGTTCATCATGGAGTTGAAGGATGAAGAAGCCTCCTCTGATTGGGCAGCACATCCCTTGCAGTTTTCTCTTTGGTAACAATCCTACTTCATGAAAAAGTAGCAAAACTGATCAGCATGTCGCTGTGTCATAGAATATTTTTAGAGATTCTGAGTAACTCTGGGGAATTTTAATCAAGAGATCAAAACACACAAGACTAAGAACTATCAGAAACATAACTACATCCTGGTTGCTACCTACCCTACCTATCTGGCATAAACTCATCAACTTCCTCCCAGAAAGAAGAAGTCTCACAAAGAAGTCAGTAAATGGGGTGTAAAGAGCTCTGCGCCAAACTCTAGTCCAACTTATTTCTCATGAATAACATTTTCTTATTCCATGGAATCCCCCTACCACCATCTGAGTGTAATAGCACCAGGGAGGTATGGGGCCTGATTCCTGCCCCAGGAAAGCAAACTAGTATTTTTAGGCAGTGCTTCTTAAGAGGGGCACTCCCTCATGTCTTTGTATGGCCAGAAGTGTCACCGTGGTAGAACTGGTGCTTCCCCAATTGGACCGTACAGTCTAAACAAGTAATTCTAAACGTGGGCTCCCAATGTGGCCTTCAGAGAGTATGCAAACCCCTTGCAGTTATATGTAAGAGTCTATGTAAGTTTTTCTATGGAGATAATCCATACCTTCCAGTAGCCATAACTCCAAAATATATATTAGACTTAGTCACTATTTCCTCATTAGCTGGACCTAGTGGTACAGATTATGCCCTTCTTAACACAAAGATAGAGCTCAACATAAACACCTTTACTGGAACTGCTTTTACCTGTTTGCTTAAACCTCACAGCAGTTATCTTCTTTTCTGCTGTCCAAATTCCCTATTTATCTTTCAGGCTCAGCATGAATACCATCTCCCTCAGTATATCTGGTGCTTCCCTCTGAGAGAGAGAGAGTTCTTCAACTGTCACTATACGCAGTGCCAGTTTGCTCAGAGGCGGCTCTCACACAGTAGGCAAACACAAGCACCCGAGGCTGGAGCAAGCTGCTTCCAAACCAGGACTGCAAAGGCTGTACTTCTGTCCCCAGTTTGGCTGAAGTCTGATCTGCCCCATGAAGTCACACTTAGCTCATACTATTGACTGTCTGGATGCTCTAGCTTTTCTGCTTTCTGATGACCACGCCTTTGCCGTCTTGATTTCCCTTGGCTACCGGCTCCTGACCCAGAATGCCATGATGCTCTTCTTCCCCGTGTGTTCTGCTTCCTCATGTTCACCTTCCTTTCATCCCACC